TTACAATTTTTGTAATCCACATCTGGTTAATGACAGAGCAAATCGTATTGTTTTTAATCTTACTTTTCAACCAAATGCACAAGTTTTCCAATCTTTTCATAGGAAAATCCAACAAATGGACGTATACATGAAGTCTATCGTATTCTACAAAGATGTACACATTACTTGTTAAGATATTTGTCTGTATGGAGAAACTGAGAATTATAGAAAAACATTTTAAGAAAAAAGAAAAGATTACTTTATTTATCTATTTTGGGATTTTTTAATGATTCATACGAATCATCTTAAAACGATTTTTAGTCTGAAATCCAATTCTCCTGACAAAATTAGTGACATCTTATATTTAGTATTAAATTAGAACTAAAAAGACAAGGCTAAAGGTCTGTTATAATAGAATCAATGAATATCCCTAGAGTTACAATGTGAGAAAAGTGCTTACACATCACACCACTATAAAACGTATTACTCAGAATAGATATATTAGTTGCTGTGATCCATAGGCTATATTTTTACGTTTTCAATTTCATTATTATAGAGCAATTAATATATGACTTGACTAATGTATAAGCTTTTCATTTCTGCGAAATGCTACGAAAACTTTAATTCTTAGTGTACAGAATATTTCTCCGCGTGAAACGTCAGCGTCAAGCCTTTATTCCCTTCGAAGAAGAGTGTAAAAAGCAAAAAAACAAAAACGAACTCCAAGGAAAATTCAAAACGGAAAGTTCCTTATAAAATGGAAAAATCAAGCACATCAAACGAATGGTAAACAACTGTCATATTCCTGTACTAAAATACTAGTATTTTGTTGCAAGGCACTATGGTTTGTTAAAAAAAAGAAGATGTCGATAGTAATTTTACCTGACAGGATGCTTTTTTTCTGTATGGAAGATCATGCGTCCGGCCCACTATTAATACAACAGTCAAATACTTGAAGAACCAACATATTTTTTTCTTCAGGAAACTAATTTTACAGAACTGCTATCTCGTAGATAACTTGACACCAATGTGTTAGATCTATAAAAGACTGCGACAGTTTTAATCAAAGCAAAGCCGTATGTATGGCCTTAAGATTTATATTATAGAAATTTTTCGTAAATATAAATCAGAAAAATCATAATGTCTATGGGAAAATAAGTTCGACCTATATGATTATGATTCTATTTTAAATAGAATGGTCACTAAGAGTTAAAATGATTTATTTGTTATACATTTTATACATGTTTTTAGTGTATTAATTCGTTTTTTAGTTCAAAAAGTCCTTAAGTTTGATATAAAACGGTCAATTTATATTATTATATACTTGTCAACTGAGGCGAAGCCAAGGTTGACAATGTCTTTTCGAGGGGTTACAATCTGCTCTATCACCCTCTCAGATATGTGTTATTTAATTTATTATACTGAATGTTCTGTTATTGCTGTCGATTAAATTTCAAATTCAAAGTAATAAACTATGACATCTTGTACATAACAACCATCAGTATTTAATCAAGCGCACACTTGATCAAGCGTCTCTGTGATTAAATACGGATGGTTGTTATGTACAAGACGTCATAGTATTGCTTCGCCTCAGTTGACAATGTTTTCTCGGGGTAACAATCTGCTCTATCACCCTCTCAGCTATGTGTTATTTATATAATATGAAATCAAAGTTAGCTAAGTTGAAATTGGCTTTGGCGTTGCATTTAGTAACTGCAAGTACTCTTAGATTGGTAGTTTGTGTTTTGTCTGTTAAGTATTTTGTTGCTCTTTTTGCAATTTTGATGATACAAGCCCTTCCCAACTGATTTTTACAATTTGTTCTTATGTTTTGCTGTTACACCACTCTGGTAAAACGGTGCGGGGCTAAACAAAAATGTTAACACCGTGTGTCTGTCGTAAGTCGAGAGCATTTATTTCAGTGGTTTTCGTTGGTTGCTGTCTGCCATATTTGTTTTTCGTTTATTATTTTAGCATGTGTACAGTAACCGATATAGTTATTAAAATCATTGTCCTTGGTCTCTGCTGGATAGTTGACTCATTGGCAATCATACTACATCTCCTTATTTTTCATATCATACACATTTATGTATATGAAGATTTTAATAAATATTTAGTTGATGTCGCAAAAAAATATACCTCTTTAGAAAGATGTTCTGGTGGCTTCCAAGGAATTTCTCTGTCAACTGTTAAAACTTCCATTTCAAGAGAATAATGACTTACAGCATAATTTGTCAGAAGTGGTAAATAAATTAAAATGAAGTGTGTTTCTAAACAGAAATGACTTTTTTTTCTTTCACTTCTGTTTGTAAACATCGTGACTGGTATAAAGGTTGACATTGAACTCCCAAGTATTTATGCAGTTTATTTTTTTTTCAGTAGGAGAAGCACACGTGGTGGTATTAACAAAGATAAAGTGTTTTAGAAAGAGAAACCGACAAAGTGGTCAGTATAATACCGTCTTTTTAAATAAAACGAACTGCTTTTGAAAGTGAGTTTGTCATTTTCTTTGAAAAGATCTTAAATCTATTTTAGAAGATTTTTTGTCCTGGAATTTTGTATAACATTCTTTCCAGTTACGAGTGACCGACGAATGGAACAAAGGGTCTGATAAAAATCAATATCTTGAATAAGTAGAGCTAATATAATATAAAAACTTAAATCGTATGGCTTTTTCTCGACTATAGCTTTAAATACACTGAATAGTTATCTTTGGAAAAAAGAAACAGTGCGTTTAACGGCGTGGGACGTTTGCGTTTTTTGATAGGACGTTTGCGCTTTCTAAGAAAATAAGTACATTTGCGCTTTTTGAAAAAAAAAATTTACGCACTGGTTTTCTACAGCACATAAGTGCTGTTTCTACGGGACATTTGCGCTTTATCAGGTTTGAACTGACGGAGTTTAAGTCATATAATTAAAAGTTTGAAATGAATTTCATATCCAAAATACAGCACATTCAAATATTTATATATACAGCTAAAAGTTGAATTCTAAATACATATAAGAAACGTATACGTATAGCCATCAAAGGTCAACATTTATTATTACATTACAGAAAAATCGTAAATCACTCATAAACTGGTTTTCTGTCAACACCTGAGATGCAGGCAAAACAATGAAACATTTAAGGCAATTTCTGTTGGTTCAGTTGTTTAAAAAGATGGAAAAAATGATCATAGATATAGATGGGGTGTTTCTGTCAGTATAAGAGAATTTAATTCGTTAACGATAATTCTCTAGCTTAACCCATTTCTGGCAAAACGACTGGCTATTTTACGTTTTGGCAATAAATCAAGGGACTTACATGAAGATAATTTCATATTTTGTCTATTTTATTCTTCAATAGTTGGAAATGATTTTATCGGTGTCAACGTATATTTGTTCCGAATAACGGAAGTTCCCCCTGGAAACTTTGTTAAAAACAATGACATAATATCTGTTACTGTTGGAACAAATACTATATACCCTTTATTCCGTGCGGAAAGAAATCTGTAATATTTGTTCCAGTGGAAATAATAGTACAGCAAATTGCTTCCATTTGGAACTTAAAAAATGAAGGAACTTCCTTTTCATGACATCCACATGGTTCACATCTATATTTAGGCATCCGACAAGTTAACAAAAGTTAAATATAACTTTTTATACATTTGTTATGCCGGGTTGATTCCGCAATTGTTCATTGAGTAAACTGTAAATTCAGAAAATTATTACGAGGTTTTTATTATTGCGAATAATGCGACTGGCTGAGTATCGCAATAATAAGAACTCGCATTCTGATATCTAATACATATATCTGTATGCAGATTGAGCTGAAATCGCAATAATTAATCTCGCATTTGTTTCCATGATTCTCCAAAAATTGAAATAATAAATGCACGCATTAATTTCTGAATTTACGGTAATCAATCATTGCAATTGCTGTTGCTTCAGGTATAACTAAGATTAAGGTAATTGTTGGCTATTATAAAGAACGCGAAGAATCAGTTGTGCATTTGTCTTGGATGGATAGGGATAGATATTTTTATATTTCGTTTTAAAACCATCTCGCCGATAGCCGTCATGCATCGTTAAGTCGTTGGTTACGGAAGTCAGAACCGTAATTCAGTATTAATGAGTTCGAACAACGTATCCGGAATATTTTTTTTCTATTTTTGTCGTTTTATATTTTTGTATTGATGTTTGATTTAGCAATATGTCGAATGTTGAACCTTATCATAGTTATTATTCCATGGGTTAATTAACAAAATCCCCAATAACAAAAGCTTAAAAATGAAAATAGAAAAATAAAAAAAAAAAAAACAGCCATATTATACATGTGTAGAGCGTAAAACCCTATTATCATTTTACATCAATAAAATGGAAATTAATATATCGACAACATATGATTTTTTAATTCACTGTTGTCACACCATTATGATTCTGGGATTGTAACAAAATGTTCAGATTCATAAATACATTAAAATATTTTTTTTACCAAAAATTCACTGCAAGACGGCATAGATATACTAAATCTGAGACTACTATATATATATATAACACTGTGTTATAGTAGTCTCAGACTAAATGCAACAAAATTTTAAAGTTTATAAAAAACTATAATAACCTGTAACTAATTGCCTTTTTTATATACATTTATTGTTTTAATCTGGGAACAGTATATCTAAGTCAATAGAAATGTTCCTGTTTTAATAGTATATTAACTTTAAAATCGCTAGATTTGTCTTCTTGTCGCAATTTTTTTTGTTTTTGTCGCTAATTGTTTTTTTCTTCCTTGTCGCTTCTTGTCGCTAAATAGTGGGACCGGTATAACAAAACATCTCATATAACTTTAATTACGTGTTTGTCATTATTTGCTTGTTTAACCTTTCTAGCGTCTATTTCTTGTACTGTGTTTACATATAGGTGTGTTAAAGTAATTTTTAAAGGCTTGTTTAAGCTTATCGTTGTCCGTAAAGTATATAACCGTGCTTACAAGCGAACTCGGTTCTACAGTACTCATTTTCTATATTATATAACAAGAGTTACCTCCCGTAGATTTTGTAACAAACTTGAGATTTGACAGCGTTTTACTTCTACTTTTGACTATTCTGTAATGGAAAATGATAAATATACGAAGGATGGCTTCTACTTCTAATATACAGACAGCTTTAAAAGCAGTAAATGCAAATATCCAGAGTCAGATATCAAAGAAAACAGGGGTAATAAAAAAGAATTATAGCTGCGTACTTTTTTACAACACTCAACAGGCATGACAGGTTATAATGTTCAATGATTTGCAGTATAAACACGCAGTACAATAAACTTTTTTTGTATGGAAATGATGTATGTTTTATAGGACAGCATGATTTTTCTTTCGTTGTGGATATGCCAACAAGGTTATCTTAATGCACTTTAGAATTATTTTAACCCTTTCGCTGCCACGGCAAAATTTCAAAATTCTGCGTTCAGTGCCACGGCTTGTTTTGGAAGTCGTTGCGAAGGTAAAGGAGGCTTTGTGACGTCAACAATAGAAGAAAGTTCTATTGAGAAATGAATGATGGTTTCCATTTCTACAGCATATGATATGGCAATTCCGATATTTCCGGAATAATACAATATTGTTACTTGTCAAAATTAATATCTATATATATATAATGTTTATTCAATAACAAATCATTATACCCTCAGAAACATAAATCAAAATAACACGATATATTATAAACAGTCAAGGATATAACTCTATAGGGTTATTAGAGAAAAATAACATATGCTTGTTATTGTGGACAAAAAAATCAAAGAACTGTGATAACATATGTATGTTACATGTTTCAAAGGGACAATATACATCATTAGTTTTGTTAAAATGTATACAAGTTCTATTGATATTGCTACTGTCTTTATGTATACTTAACTATAGAAAGATATAACAGTTCATAGTTTGCCAATCATGCATAGTACACCTATGTTATTACAGAACAAATATGCCTGTAATAACTAAAGGGTGTTATTATAGCTTCTCTACATCACTTCAAAGCATTTGCTCAGACATAGATCATGCTCAATTACAATGTATTTTAATTTATTGTAAGAAGTAATGATCAGAGCATGTAATGAGGTTCTGCGCAAGCTTCCCAGTAATTCCCAAGTGTCTCATTTAATAAGTTACATGCCTTTAACAACTAAGCCTTGTTATTACAGCTAAGTTAATCACTTAAAAGCCTTGTCTCATTGATTTACCATGGTTAATGAAAAATGTATTAATCTAAATTAATAGTTAGTTATCAAGGCTATGCATTTAGTTTCTGCGCAAAGTTTCAAGAGTTCCCTAGAGCCCACTAAAAATGAAAATATTTATGATTTATTTTACAAATAACAAACATATGTTATTACAGATTTAGTAAATTTAAGGATTAAAGAGTAGACAACTCATAAAAGTATCTGTAATAACACATGCAAGTTATTTTCTGTAATAACCCTATAGAGTTATATCCCTGACTGATAAACATACAATCAATAAAAAAAAACACCAAGTCTAGCTATATTTGAAATTGTGATGCAATGCAAATTATGCAGAACATGTAGTAGGATAATGAGGGGAAAACTATACTACCTTCCGAAAAATGTATTGATACATAAAATGCAAACGTCAGATATTTTGAAAAGCCCAATTTACGGCACGGCCACCATACACATTACGAAACCCTTTTGCCACCCGTTTCATACTATGTCAAATATTATCAAGCAAAGAAAACTTTGTTCAGAGGTCCATCCGGTGCAAAATATTATTTTCGCCAGAAACACTTAAGACTATAAAACGCCGAGGTCTAAGAAAATAGACAAGAGTTTCTTGATATTTCATAATATATTTACAAAAACTAACAACTCAGAATATTAACAACAAAATGTCCAGCTTCCTTCCCTAAAGAGATGCAATCTTGTTTGTCTCTATAAAAGCAATCATTTAATTTTCAAGATGAGGAATTTGGATCAAATTATGGATCCTGATTATTTTTTAGGCAAAATTTCGATCGTGGCATTGTCTTTCGGCACGCTGGTGCGCGCAATTTTTTTTTTCTGAATTAAAATAATCTTTTATTTTGTGCCCCTTTTGTGTTCCGGCTTTTTTATTTTAACCAATTGCTCATCCTTGATATTTTCACTAAGAAACCCCGTCCTGCATTTGACCTCAAACATATTCCCCCCCCCCCCCCCCCCCCGGAATAAAACTAAAATTGTTACTTACTGAGGAGATGTGGATACATAATTTGGACGGACGGACGGATGCAAACCAAGATTCAGAGTAATAAAATAATTTCATGTCATGAAGCGATAATGGTAAATCTTGTGTTTGGAATGTTACACAATGTAAGAGAATATAAAATGTATATTTTATTAGGAATAAAATAAATATTTGTACCTACACGTAGATAAAAACGGGTACTTATAAGCCCATTAATGATCACACTCTGTGACTCTGTCCCAATTTGAGTTTTTATAAGGCAGAAGCTATTTTTCTGGCGTCGCCAAAAAAAGATATATGCTATTTTGCCGGCTCTAGATATTAGTGGAAGCCAATATTGCCAGTAAAAACGATTTTGTTTGCAGATACATGTATTTAATTCAAAGAACTGACTATTATTTCAAAAACAAATTTAATTTGAACATTTTTGCTTCTGAAGCTAAGTGATTGATTTTATCTGATTCTAGAAGTAATTTCAACTGCATGTTTTAATTACTATGATTTCCGCATTTTAGAAACATCCGTGATCCAAGATCCAATATTATATTGAACGTATTTGACAATCAGATGTATACAAAAATAAAATGAAATGGGAAAATCACGGTAGGGTGAAGAACCGCCTCTTAAAATCTGAGTTCCAAATTATTGTTTTGGCCGGCGGAGTTCTAGTCCAATTACCAAATTGCACCATTTTTTTTGAAAAAAAAATATGTTGATGGCCTAGCTGCTGACCGAAAAATAATTAGATTTTGCATTGTAGCGTGAACAAATTTTTATGCTGTCACCTGCTTCATGTAGTTCTATTTCACATGATAGGAAAAAAAATGTTGCTTTCCTTCTCATAAGAAAAAAAAAATTATCGGAGGAAGGTTCTGAAACACAATGAAAATCCCAGCCCCCCCCCCCAGATAAGAAAATGGTTGTTGCCTAATATAACCTTTTTTTCCTAATTTTTCGAAAAGTGCTTGATTTTTTCTACATTTAAGTGACGTCACAATTAAAAACATGACGTCATTTTTGGAACTATTGGCATTGCGCTTCCAAAATGTCAGACATTTCCGAAGATTCCGATATTGAAAGTGAAACGGATTCAGATGTTGATCTAGCTCAAGAGATCACAGAATCGGAGAGTAGCGAAGATGAAAATGCGCCGAACCAACGTCCATGGTTTAGAATCTACCCACCAGAAATAGATGAAATGCAACAGAACTTTGCCGAGAATGTTGGACTTCAAGACGCTCCTCCAAGGAATTCAAGACCTATATCTTATTTTTTCCTGTTTATGACAATGGATTTCTTAAGACAAATAGTTACAGAAACCAACAGGTACTATCATGTACATATTTTATCGATCCATGCTTTATGTATTATACATCACCAAGGAATTGATAAACATAGAACATTTTCATAATTTAAAACCGGACATAAGTCGAACATTTGAGCTGCTTATTTGCTTTAAAAAAGTTATTTGGCATTTTATAAATAAGTCGGAAGTTAAGACCCCGGGGGGTTACTTCCTATATTTTTTGTGGTACGAGTGTGCCGCAAAACAGGGTCGCTTTTTCATGCCCTGCTGGTTAGAACAGGGTCCCTTTTTCATGTTCTGCTGGTTAGAACAGGGTCGCGTTTTCATGCCCTGCTGGTGAGAACAGGGTCTTTTTTAGACAAAGTATTTGTCTAGAACAGGATCTTACATTAATGAATTGTTTGGTGACAGGGTATAAATTTCTGAACTAGTCTAGAACATATAGGTCTCTATCGAGAACAAGGTATACATTTTCTGAGCGTGTCTAGAACAGGTATACATTTTCTGAGCGTGTCTAGAACAGGGTATGTTTTTCAATATTTCTGTTTAGAACAGGGTATGTTTTTCAATGTTTTCTGGTTAGAACAGGGTATAATTTGGCAAGTGCTGTCGGCACAGTTATACCCGAAAGGATAGTCAGTAACACCCCCACCCCCCCCGGGTTAAGACAATGAGCCCCTAGACACTCATTTTACACACATGCATGTACGAAGAGACACTACATCATTTACATTAGAACAGTCACCATTGGCGGATCTATGATCGGCACACCCTCATTCACGCGGTTATAATCTTTACAAGAAAAAAACATTGTGCCTTTTCATCTTTTTTCATGATGTGTTGCCTTACTTCTCAGCAAAACAATAAAAAGTAATCTTAGCGCTAGCTCCTTTTTTTCGTGGAGAAAGGGTACATTTTCGTGAGAAAATTATGACCGCTTGTTTCTAAAAACAAACAGTTTCAATGGAGAAAAAGTAACTTTCGATGGAAAACTTATAAAACCTATTTCTTTGCAGGTATGCAGCAGACTATATTGCTAGTAAAGACAGAATTCAACGATTCTCGCGCCTGCATGACTGGTTCAAAGTTGGGGTTTTAACATTGAGTGATCTGAAAGCGTTTTTAGCGGTTATTCTCAATATGGGTATCATTAAGAAACCGGTTATAACCGAATATTGGAATACAAAGTTTGCTAGCCAATCAACAAAATGGTTTAGAGACATGTTTTCAAGGAACCGGTTCCAATTGATTTTGAAGTTTTTTCATATAACTAACAATGATATGATTCCTAACCGTGATGATCCACAGTATTCCCCGACCGGAAAATTTCAATGCTTCGTTGATTTGTTTAATGCCAAATCTAAACAATATTATACACCAAATCAATCCTTAAGCATAGACGAAAGTTTAATAGGGACACGGGGCAGGTCAATAATGATTCAATATATACCCTCAAAGGCAGCGAAATTCGGTGTTAAATTATGGGTGCTTGCTGAATCAATAACGGGATACATTGTTCATCTTAAGGTGTATAAAGGAAAGCGTTATGACCCAACCCCTGCCGGAATGTTACAGGGAAGTTACGTAGTAAATTCACTTTTAGACTCGTGCAATTTTTTTAATAAATACTACCACGTTGTCACAGACAGCTTTTTCACGTCACTTGATTTAGC